CGGAAAGTACAGGGTGCACGCGAGGTATGATATTGAAGACACACCAGGCTGCATCGTAGTTAAGCACTGGGGCAGCATGAAATGAATCATGCAAAAAGCTTGGGAAATGTTTGGGGATTCTTTGGGTGGCTTCCCAGCATCTTGCAGCATTCACCCTTTTATCCCGTCACTCAACAGTATTTACTGGCATAACTGCTCCTTTGACCTTTGCAAGAACCCTTTAATGGAGGTGGAGAAGTCTTTTTTTTTGGCCTCACCACGTAGCTTGCAGGATCTTAGTTCCCCGACCAGGGATCGAACCCTCTCCCCCTGTACTAGAAGCACCGAGTGTTAACCACTGGATTGCCAGGGAAGTCCTGGAGAAGCCATTTTAAGGGTGAGAAAACTGAGGTTCGTGGAAGAACTGTTGCCAGCCTCACAGAGCTATCGAGAGGCAGAACTGAATCTGTCACCCTGGTCTCCTCAAGCAGCCCTGTCACTAACGGTGTTCTCTCTGGGGCCTTTAAAACTAAATGGTGTAAATCTTATATTGGAAGGTAAAACCTCCCAAGGGCACTTCAAATGTCGACTGAAGTTTAATTTGTGTGTGCCTTTTTTACAAGCATGTCTTTAGCTCTTAACCAGATTTGTGGAAGTAAAATCTCTTCAGGCACCATGAGGCTCTTGGTCTGAACCCTGCACAAGGATTGAAGGTACGTCTTGCCCTTGCCTGTCAGCTCGCAACCTTCTGCAGAGTTGAGGGGCAAGAAAAGGGAAGCTGAGGGCTCTGAGGCCCCCCTAGGATATACCCCCAGCCCCGGGATTGTCAAAGGACCCTGCTCCGAGCGGATCGTAGGAAGTCATTGCATAGCAGCCAGAATTCGTGTGTCTAGTGGTTGGCTAGTCCGAGACCAGGGTCCCTCAGTCTCAGCTCTACCGACATCTGGGGCCAGTAATTCTTTGCTGGGGGCTGTCAGTTCATTGTAGGATGCTCTGCAGCTTCCCTGGCCTCCACCCACCAGATGATGGGAGCATCCCCACCCCAGGGGAGACAACCAAAAATGTCTCCAGACACTTCCCGATGTCCCCCAGGGACATAATGGCCCGGTTGTGGCAGATGTGCCTCACTCTTTCAGTCACTGCTCACAGGTAGATATTCTCTCCCAGTATTTCTCTGGAGTGCATTGCTTCTTGCAAAGAAAATGCAGACTGTGCCCCGAGGCTGTGGACAGAGCAGCCCTGGACCTGAGCACGTGCTCTGTGTGCCCCGGGGCTGCTGGCGAGCACCTTGTAGAGGCTGTGGAACTGGGTCATCACAGGAACCTTGTGAAGCGGGTACTATTATCATCCAACTTTATGAATGAGGAACCTGCGAATTCCCAAAGGTTCCCCAGGACGTTAGTATTGAGGGCTCTTTGGGCCTCACGCTCAGCTGTCCCCACTCCAGCAGAGGCCCTCACTTCCCGAAGGCAGACCTCAGTGCTGTGGCCCAGACAACGGCTAGACCACCCTAGACACGACCGTTGAAGCCGTGTCCGTGATGCGTGTGTTAGTGACCCCGTATGGTAACGAACCCACGTGTGTGCGCGCGTGTGTGTGAGTGCATGAGAGCCGGCTCTAGGGAAGTAAACTCTTAGTATTTTACAGAAATGTCAGGCCACCATCAGTCACTCAGAAAGCAAAAAATAAAAAAATTTTAAAAATTGCTGCAAATACAAAGTGCCTACAATAAGTAATCTAATTTCCTATGAGCCCTGACCTAAACTAGCATCATTCCATATTAAATGTCTCTGGACATTTGAGGATCCTGGCAGGCACTGCTTGTACGTGCACCATCACGGGTATAAAGGAGCTTTCCTTGGAGGGTCCAAGACCACAGGCAAAGAGGAGTAAAGTGTTTTTTAATGCTGAGTGGACCTTTTCAAACATTTAGCTCACCGAAAACCATTGCTCTGGAGAGATGAAATCTCAGGGGCTTGTATCCACACAGAGTGTCACCCTGGAGCTTAAGACTGAAGCCTGGTCCTTCCAGAAAGGAGCTCTGCGGACCTTCCTGCACTAATCGGCCACCCCACTCACCCCATTCAGGGCAGATTCATGTGTGTCCCCAGATCCTGTGATACTGGGCTTACCTTAGATGGAATGTCTCCTGGACCCCTGGTTGGGGGTCAGTGCCCTCACAGGAGGAGCCCAGCAAAGGCAGAATTTCCACATTCCTAAAAAGTTGGGTCACATCCCTGAGCTGTTGTCTCCTGGGGAGACCCTGAGAAAAGGGCAGCTGCGAGTGAGTTAAAATTCCTCGCTGCTCCGTCAGAGATCTGAACACAAACATGCACAGGGGTCTCATCCCAGTTTGCTGCCAGGCTCCTGCAAGGACTAAAGTCCGTCGGCCAGCGAAGAGTTTTATGCCCGCAGGATTTTCCATCTGGAGTTTTCAGTGGCATTATTTTTCTTCTTCGCTTTCTGGGAACCCAGTAAATTGCTCATACGTTGAACCAAATGGAAAGCATTTATTCCTGACTGACAACAGACTGCCGTCAGGGTGGCTTGCGGTGGTCCCGCTGGTCGCTGCCATTTGGAGCACAGTGCCAGGCGGGAGGGAGGGGAGCGGAAAAGCTTCCCCATCTCGGGCTCCAGGCAGGGCCTGTCGTGGAGCTGATGGCTGCTTTCCTCCCCAGCCCAGACCCCACCCTACACTGGAGCTCCCGCCATCCACATGGGGTCCAAATGCCATCACTTGCTAAATGACTACCAGTGTTATTAATATCTCACGAGGCTGGCATTTTCAAAGATCTTTCCATCACAAAGGACGCCAGAAGAATGGGCCTCACATGGCAGAATTCAGACTCTGGCCTCTGTGTTTGAGGAGGTCCAGGGTCTTCTGCCCAGCCCTTCTTCCCCACCAACGCCCACCTCGTATCCCAAACCTGGCACGTGACCTCTGCCCACCCCAGGTCCACATCCGCGAGGTGGGCAGAAATTGTTTAAAATGTTAACTGATGATACCCCCATGGATATTCTGTACCCTTGACCTGGGCCTCTGTCATCACATCTGCAGTGACACCATCCAGTACCGCTGCTCCCGAGAAGGATGTTATAGCCAGAGATCAAAAGGAAGGCTTTTGAGTCTGGATAAGCAAGTCTTCAAGCCCCAGGCAGGGCAAAGAAGGGGATTTCTGGAAGGACCAGAGAGACCTTAGTCACTGGAGCATCCCACAGATGGAGCCTGCATCCCGGAGGCCTGTAGGGGTCTGCGACACTGTGTGCTGAGCCCTGCGGGGAGACGAAAAATCCACATGATGCGTCTAGATTCAGTTCAGCCTCCCTCCCTCTGCACCTCAGTGCAGGAGGAAGCAGCTGGTGATTCTCCTGGGCTTCAGAGAAGGCAGAAATGCAGAAAAGAGCCGGGGGCAGCCCCCCGAGTACCCGAGTACGCCGTGGTCCAGAGAGGTATGGGACGGCAGAAAGAGACCCTTGAACAGGGCTGTCAGAAGGAGCCCTGCATGAGGACCAAGCAGGCAAGAGGACATCTCAGCAGATGCCGACAGGGATGGGGCAGTTGGGCATCTCTGAACTGACCCAAGATGGGGCCTCAAAAGAGAAATTCAGTTGAATTGCTTCTTATACGCCTATTGTAGAGCTGAGCTTGGGGTGCAATCAGTGCCCCACTTCACACTGACTACATGCTAAGTATGTTTCTGTCTGAATTTAGGCCACCAGAAAGCACAGAGCAAACTTGCAACCCTTTTCTATTCTCAGGAACCTGTATTTGGGTCATAATTTTCTCTGATTTCACTTTGCCATTCTGCTCTTATTTCTCCTTGATCTTCGTGTCTCACCTATGGTTATGCCGTTATCCCACTACCCACATTATTATTATCTGACCCGAATCCTATTTGGAACAAGGCAAGGCATATATGGACCTGAGAACATATGTGTGTATCAAGTAGATATTTAAAGTAATTTATAACCCAGGTTTCAAAACTCCCAGGCATAAAGCCCTCTGAGAAGGGGGACCCTTCCTGCAGGAGGTTGGATCTGAGGCCTGGGGGCTGCAGGAGGCTATCCGCTGTGGGCCGGCAGGGGAGCTGAAATGCACGAGGTGCTTTCCTATAGAATAGCAGCCCCCAAATTCACAGGTGAGACTTGGATCCTGGTCCGGGTCGACCTTTATGTTGGCAAATAGCTCTCTATGCTCATCGGTCCCATCAGAGGTGGAGCTGGTCATGGCAGCGTTGGGGCACCAGGTCCTTCTCTGAGCTCCTGCCCAGGCTCAGCTGCTGAAGCCCCCGCTGCTCCTGTGGCCCAGGTAGAGTTGGTGAGGGCACAGCAGAAGCGGCCATTCTGAGAGCGCGCTTTAAACTACTAGTAAAGTGGGTTTACCTGGTGATGCACAGGCCAGGAATTTACTCACTGCAAGGCTGGAAGAAGAGCATCATGGATGGGTTAACTGTTAAATGAAGAGTCTGTCTTGACCAGAGAAAGAGAGAGAACTTAAACCACAGAACCTCGGCAGGGAAGGTTCAAGGCCCATGTCATATGGCCTGGGGGAACACGGGGCATATATGAGGATCAGTTCTGGGGCCCAAACCCTTTGGGCAGACACAGCAGGTGGGGACATTTCTGCACCAACTTTGTGCTGACAGGAGCACCTACCATCTCCCCTCCCTCAAACACAGGGCATGAATTTTTTTTTTTTTTTTTTTTTGCGGTACGCGGGCCTCTCACCGCTGTGGCCTCTCCCGTTGCGGAGCACAGGCTCCGGACGCACAGGCTCAGCGGCCATGGCTCACGGGCCCAGCCGCTCCGCGGCATGTGGGATCTTCCCGGACCAGGGCACGAACCCGTGTCCCCTGCATCGGCAGGCGGACTCTCAACCACTGCGCCACCAGGGCAGCCCCAGGGCATGAATTTAAAAAAAAAAAAAAACACTCACACTCAAATTTTTCTCCTTTTATATCATTTCATCCAAGTTAATCTCTTGGGCTTTGCCTTTATGGTAGTACTCTTTTCTTTAAACACATTTATTCGGTTGATCATCTATGCTGTAAATGTTTGTATTATTGTCAAACATGCCACCTAATGCCAAACATGCTTTTAAAACTTAGACCCGAACGCCTTTTTAGGAAAAAAAAAAATCTTTATTAAAAAAAAATAACTTACAAATGGAAAGAACTCTCTGAAATACAAGGTTTGTTTTGTGCGCCATGTTACAGACTGGAATAGTGTTGCTTTCTTTATTTTCAATGTAACTTTACAATAATATTAATGTCACAAACTGCATTATAGAGCAGTTTTCGTTGCATATCCCAGACCGGGTCAAAATACCACACAGATAGAAAACTATTGTAAATAAAACATTTCAGCCAAGACCAGCATGTATTTATATATATATTTATATGTATGTGTGTGTGTGTATATATATATATATATATATATATACACACTTTCAAAACAGCTAACAATTAATGTCATCCTTAGTCAAAACGGAAGTCAAACTAATGTCGCAACTACAGCACTGCATATATGTCAGCATTATACCTCCCATACAATATTTAAAATATATTTAAACTTTCAAATACATTTAGAAGGTACATCAAGAGTGAGAAAAATAAAGTCTTAAGATTTAAATACAAACCACCATATAAAACCTTCAGGGAGCACAGAAAAGTCCTATTTTACAGAAGTGCAGGCAAGCCTGTCCCGCAGCTGGTGTGACAAGCAGCGGGGACTGCTCGGCACAGCCCCGCATGGTGGGTGCCACTCCGTCGGGACACACGGCCACGCGACAGACGGCCGCATTGGCACGAGAGAGAGAGAGAAAGGAGCCACAGGGACACACGTTCCCCTTTTCACGCAACCGCGGCATCAAGCCTGAAGCCACTTTGCTTTACTGTGGAAAATGACGCAGCCCGGTGCCCTGCTGGCAGCAAGCACACACGTCCCGGAGGCCGTGCAGAGCGCATCACTTGGTGTTTTGCTCCAAAGCCGAGTACTCGGTCTCCGACACTCGGGAGGCATCGATGAGCTTGGTGAGACCCGTTTTGGCCGAGTACTTGAAGATGAAGGCTTTCATCAGCTCATACCTGTAGTTGCGGTTGATGAAGCTGTAGAGCACAGGGTTGACGCAGCAATGCACCAGGGACAGGCACTGCGTGACGTGCAGAGCCGTGAAGAGGAAGTTCTCTAGCTGGCAGGTGAAGGGGATGTAGTGGAGGATGGAGAAGATGTCCAGCAGTACCACGACGTGGTAGGGGAGCCAGCACACGAGGAAGACCACCACGTAGGAGAAGATGATCTTCCGGCTGCTGTGCTTTTCCTGGTCGCTGGAGGAGGAGATGGCTCGGGCGAGCAGGAAATAGAAGACGGCAATGATGGAGAAAGGGAGGGCAAAGCCCAGGACCACGGAGATCAGCTCCATGCTGATCAGCCACTCCTTGACGCTGTGCTCAGGGTAAAAGGACCGGCAGTAGGTCTCATTGTTCGAAGCGGACGTGACAGTCTTCAGGTAGTAGGTGTCTGGCAGGGACACGCAGAAGGCCAGGAGCCACGCCAGGACACACACGGTGCGGCGCGCCATCTTCTTCTTGCGGCTGGAGGTGTTGGTGAAGTAGGCGACAGAGAGGTAGCGGTCCACGCTCATGCACGTAAGGAAGAAGATGCTGCCAAAGAGGTTGATGGAGAAGATGAGGTGAGTGACCTTGCACGTGAGCTCGCCCATGGGCCACTGGTTATGCTGCACGAGGCTGACCACCCAGACCGGGATGGTGACCACCACCCACAGGTCGGCGATGGCCAGGTTCAAGATGTAGCAGTGCGTGTCGTAGCCCGTGGTCTTGGCCTGGATGTTCACCCAGACCACCACGGAGTTGGCGATCATGCCGATCACGAAGATGAAGATGTAGATGAAGGAGAGCGTGTACAGCAGGACGTTCTTATTGGGCATGTTGGCGCACTGCACAGTGTCCACGACGATGCAGTCACTGCTGTTGCACGGCCAGCTGATGTCGGAGAAGTTCCCCGGTTCCGAGTAGTCAAAGACATGCAGATCCATGGTGTCACGGGCAGCGATCAAACAGCCTACGTGCAAAAGCAAACGAAAGGGTGGAAGACCAGAATGGCTCCATTAGCAAACACTCCAGATCTGTAAAACGCTTTCCCAGTGCCGCTGTGTGCTCAGCGGTTTCCTAGTATCTTTGCGAAGAAAGGAGAAAAGAAACCAAACATAACAGAATCTGCAAAAGAAAACACACCCAGATTCTAAATCCCTGTGAATCTAAAGCCATCTCTCTCAAAGAGAGAAACAATGTTTGCTTTCTCTGTCTTTGCAGGGTTGTGTTCTCAAGACATCGTCAGCCTGGCTGTGCCCAGGGTGTGAAACCGACACAGTCCAGAGGCCAGAGGGACATCAGGCCCTGAGCCTCAGGCCCAGTAGTGCTGCGGGCCCGCTCATTCTCTGCTGGGGATGGCAGAGCCATCTCACCTATGATCCCAAGAGCAGCGGGGTGGATCTGTTCCTGGCACTGGTGTATTACAAGTGTCCTGCTCGCCTCTCTCAGGTCCACTGCGGTTTGCAGTCAGGAGGCCCCTGGAGATGCGGGCAGCGCGTGGCACGCCCTGCAGCTTCCCTGCACCCCAAACCTGCAGCCTCTGACTTTGCCGTGTGGTTCACAACTCAGTGCAACCAACCAGCTGTCTCGAAGTGCGGGCCATTGCCTAGTTTTCCATCTTCTATTCGTCCAACTGCTTCAAGAGTAACTGGTGTCAAGACCCAAAGCACAAAAACCACCACCTGCTGCATCTCTGGAGGGGCTGACTTTTCTCGTCTTCCCTGCTGACCCGGCATGAGGTCAACACTCTCAACTGTCACCATTTTAACACCCATGGAGAACCCAGGCCCGAGGCTCCACCATGCCTGGAAATGATTCCCCCACAAACACCAGCTTCGAGAGCTGCCCAGGGCTGTCTTCTGCTGACTGGTCCACCCAAGGGCCCTGAAATCCCTCCACCACCTGCCGTGGGATGGCAGCCTCACTGCATGACTATGGGAAGGAAGATGTAAAATGAAACTATTCAACCTGAGGGTGCCCTGATCGGAGTTGTCACCTAGAGTAAGGAGTTTGTGCTTCCTTTTCTCCTGTTGCAGGTAATGACTGACCACGAGTCAAGCTTATTTGCCAAGTTCATTTAAAGTGGACTCCAGGACTTCCCTGGTGGCACAGTGGGTTAAGAATCCACCTGCCAATGCAGGGGACATGGGTTCGAGACCCTGGTCCGGGAAGATTCCACATGCCGCAGAGCAACTAAGCCCATGCGCTACAACTACTGAGCCTGCGCTCTAGAGCCCACGAGCCACAACTACTGAGACCACGTGCTGCAACTACTGAAGTCCGCGAGCCTAGAGCTTGTGCTCCGCAACAAGAGAAGCCACCGCAGTGAGAAGCCTGCGCACAGCAACGAAGAGTAGCCCCCGCTCGCCGCAACTAGAGAAAGCCCGCGCGCAGCAACGAAGACCCAACGCAGCCAAAAATAAATTAATTAATAAATTTTTTTAAAAACTAAAGTGGACTCCAGGCCACATGTAAGAGCTCCCAGAGGATGAGGACTATGGTCCCTGGGTCAGTGCCCAGGTGACCCGGCTAAGGGTCTGCAGAGGCCCAGCTGGGAAAGCATCCATCTGGCGATCAGACCTTCCTGGATTGGGCTTCAGGTTCCTCACTCATTAGTGTTTAATTTGAGACTAGCTAACCTGTCGTGTGCCGCTGCTTTCTCAGGACACCAGCACACATCTCACGGAGCTACCTAAGAATTCACGGGCCTGAGACAGAACCTAACACAAGCAGACACTCAAAACTTCAGGCCCACCCCTCCCCCTCTCTTTACCTATTAGAAAGCACAGGCTCACTTAGCTTTTGCTCCACGTTCAAAACTGACTCTTCCCAGCTGCTGGGAAATGTCCTGCCCTGGAGGGAGACGCAGGAGCCACGCAGAGAGCGCGGTTTGATGCTCTCATCTCCAGGCTTCATGAACAGAATCCCAAGAAGTGAGACCGTCTGCTGCCTCCCAGGGCTGCCTCCAAACTCACGGCAGAGGACCTGCTCTTGAATCCCATTTAGGGAGACAGCCCTCAGGCTCCTGTCCCTTCTCCTCCATGGGTTGTAAGCGGCCGCTGGTTCCCCTCCAGGTGACCTGACCACACCTCAGTGTCCCCTGCCGCTGACGGAGATGGCTGGACCTCCCAGGAGGCGGCTGGAACCGCGGGCCCTGCAACCGGGAAGCCTGGTGGTCCACAGTCACCCCACCAGGAGGACCCTCGGGCCCTGGGACCACCAGCTTGTTGCAAGACCTGACCCGTAGCGCACCCACGCAGTCAGCTGGGTCAAGTTAGGACAAATAAACTGCTCGCGTTAAGAGACTTTGGAATGCCCTGTCCTAAGATGCAGCTCCAGGACCCCAAGAGGACATGGACACACAGAGGACGCCTCTGAGAAGCCAGGCCCCCGACCCACTGGATGGGCCTCAGGGTGGGCAGCCACCCCCAGACCAAGCCTTCAGTGTACTACTGCCCCCTCCCGCTGCCCGGGCTGCTCACCTGCCTGGAGCTGACTGTGCCCGCTGCACCCCTGACCCCAGATGAGGGCAACAGAGGATTTGCGCTTTCCTCTCCTGCCTGGCTCTAGCGTGGTGACACTTCTCCCCTGTTTCCTTAAAATGAAACACATTTGCAGCATGGCTTAGTTTTATAAAGCGCTTGCACCCCGTGACCTCATCTGACCCGAGTCCCTGCAGAGCAGAGAAGCTCAGCTAGAGGACGAGCCACAGCCCCGCCACAGCCCCACAAAGGTGGGCTGGCCCCTAGCTGGGGCTCCTTCGTCTGCCCGCACTGGCACAGCCCTAGCAGGCCTCGGCGGACACAGCCAGAAACCCTGGAGTTTGGGTCATTCACAGGGGCTGGAGGAAAAGGAAGGACCCCCAGCCTTTGTTGGCCTGACTTGGATGCCGTGTCCTCACCTCTGTCTTCAACCCAAGGAGTCATTCCGCTCGCTGGGCCACTCTTGTGCCCTGCAGGGTCCAGGTGGCGGGGCACTGCTCAGTGTGGACAGAGGGACGCACGCACGCAGGGGACCTCGGGGAAATGCCAGGCGTCTGTGTCCCTCTAGGACCCCACTTCTCCCACACAACAGACCGTTCGCACTCACACCACTGGGGCTGGGCCAGCCCTTGGTGTTCCCTGAGCCGGAGCCGTGGTGGGAAAGGGCTCAGGGACCCTGAATCGGTCCTTTGGTTTCTGCCTTCTGGGTGATGAAAACCTGATTTTGTGATCACTGGTCCTCTGAGCCCAAAATGTTACTCGTGAACCGGGCACGTCACTCCCTGCAGCCGTCCTTTCCCCTCGCTCCTGGACAGCATGAGGGAATCTTCCAGAAAGGGCTGAGGGGAGAGCAGAGGCTGGGGGGCTCCTCGCTGGAGCTTGAAAGCCAATTGGCCAGGCTTCCCTGGTGGCGCAGTGGTTGAGAGTCCGCCTGCCGATGCAGGGGACGCGGGTTCGTGCCCCGGTCCAGGAAGATCCCACATGCCGTGGAGCGGCTGGGCCCGTGAGCCATGGTCGCTGAGCCTGCGCGTCCGGAGCCTGTGCTCCGCAACGGGAGAGGCCACAGCAGTGAGAGGCCCGCGTACCGCAAAAAAAAAAAAGAAAGCCAATTGGCCCCACTGATCAATCATCAATCACCGATCATCCATCACTGATCACCCATCAGCCCAGGAGGTGAGGCCAGAGGCCCATGCCTTGACCACCAGCCTCCTGCTGGGGAACCCACCCACCCCGACCCCACGGCCGAGGCTCCAGTGGTCCAGAGAAGGAAGAGAAGCACCAAGAGAGGAGGTTAAACAAGCAGTGCAGTAATCCAGTCCTTCCCCGATTTAAATGGGAAGCTAAAGGGGGAAAAAAAAGAAAGAACGCCAGACGATTAGCGTAGCTTCGGTCATTTGTTATTTTACATGCATTCTGTTCTGGAAACAAACAAGGGCTCTTTCCAGAAAAGAGAATATTATGATATAAAGACAATCTGCCATGTTACATCACATGTGGTCCGTGGCTGTCTGAGCGCATGTCCCAGAGGTCTGGGGCTAACGGTGTGCGCCCCTCACCGCCCCGCTGAAGACGAGAATCTTCCTAAGTCACTGGCTTAGGTTTTAACAAGTGATGCTCTCAGAGCTCCTGACCCAAACAAACACATGACACAGCAACTACGAAATATCGACCCAGGCCCCTGGTTCCCCAAGACCTGGCCAAACCTGAGGGAGGAGGGGGTGAGGGAGGCTTTCCACCGAGCCCCTGGGACCACTCAAACCCCCTGAGATCCTGCACCAGAGTCTCATCTCCAGGAAAAGCGGGAGTGGGGATCACCCCATCCACTATGGAGGCACCACTGCCTGTGCCAACCAGGAAGGACCTGCGGCCCCGACACTCCTCGTATACACAGTACCTCCCAGCTGTGTGGCTGGGCTGCGGACCCCAGGGCCTGGAGCAGATGCCCTCATCCACTGGGACCTGACCCCCTCTGCTGGAATAAACCAGCAGTTCTGTTCCTGTCAGCTTGGGCCAGAGCTGAGGAGGGACTTCTTGGTGTTAGTCCCACCTGCCCACTGCCTGCCTCCCTGTGGGCCAGGCCCCCCACCGGGGTGGACAGGAGAATGAGAGACCACTTCTGACACAGGTCATAACATCTGCATAAAGATTCCTGATGGGAGGAAAAAAACGGGGCTTGGAATAAAAGATTCTTACCATTGTTTAATTTTACAAGTTCACACGTTCTCCTCTCAGAATATATATTCCCAGGTCCCCAAATGTACATGCAAAAATGTTTACTGAAGCACTATTTATAAACCAGCAAAAAACTAGGGACAACATAAATGTCTACCCATGGAGGACAGCAAACCACTGTCTGGAATATAATGCAGCTGTACAAAGAAATAGGAAACCTACTTTTACGAACGTGGAAAGTTACACTTATACCGTAATCTCATGTATGTTAAAAAAAAAAAAACCAAAATTATGTGTATTTTTATAGATAAATATATGGGTGTAAAGGAATGGGAAAAAGATCTGTAGTAAGTATAACTTTGGGCTGGGAGTGTGGGATGAGGGGACAAAGGGGGAACTGTAGTTTCTACTCTATACACTTCCGTATGATTTGAAACTTGCTAGCAAGAATTCTGTAAATGTGAATTAGAGGGAGGAATGTTTCCCAGAACAATAAAGGTTCACGGTCCATTTTTTTCTAGACCAGGGAGATCCCACTGAGAACAAAGGAGTAATCATCACTTTTGATTCCCTTTTCCCCAACACGTGCTGCTTTATCTCACCGAACCCCCTCCAGGGATCACTTCCCATAGATTCCATGCCCAGCACCTGCTTCTGGAGAGCATCGCACTTCTGCCAGGACAGGAAGTGGATTTTCCTACAGCCTGAGGATGGAGGGCCAGCGTCCGTCCATTCCGCCTCCCCCACCGGCCTGGGGTCTATAAAGGAGCTCATCTGCCACTCGCATCCCCAAATGGTGGAAGGGAGATGCACCACTCATTTCTCAGGCTTATCACTCATCAATCGAGTATCCTTGGCAACCACTTCAAGCGGCCTGACACATTCAGCTGCCTCCAAATGGTTGCCCTGCGCTCACCAGGCCAGCTGGGGGCAAAGCCAGAATGAGAATCTCCAAGTTCAGGGTCTCCATGGGGTGGCAGTTTGGCCTGCAAGGAATATGTCCTTTCACTGGCCAAAAGTCACTCCCTCCAGGACACAGTCTGCCACGTGTTCAGGTGTCTGGCCGGCGTTCCCCAAAACTGCCTTCAGTATGCTTGCAATTTCCCATCACAATCCCGGAAGACCCTTCCCGACCAACCCCTGAGCCCCTCCTGCCCCAAATAAATTCCATCCCAAATATCCCCTCTGTTTCTCCCGCCTTCTCCCAGCCCGGCCGCGCATCTCCAGTCTGTGTCACTGGGCTATTGGTGTGTCTCCCCTCATCCTCAAGCTCCCACCCCATGACGTCTTACTCTCTGTGTACAGAGCAGCCAGCAATGGCACCTGGACAAAGCAGGTGTTCAATGAATTCATAGTCAATGAATCGACAGTGAATCGAGCTCCCCCAAGACCAGAAATCTGAGGTTATCAATGGAAATGGAGGCCCAGAAGAGACTTTTCTGAAATCCTCACAGAGCTAAGATAAACATCACTGGTTTCTATGTCCCCAGGTGTTTGTGGAGCCCCTTCTGTGAGGGGCACTGCTCTGGGGCATAACAAACTGAAATCATCACACCCGCCTGCCCCCAGGTACTCACCAAGTAACCGAGAGGTTCAGGAAGGCAGGAGGGCGGAGCTGGACAGCCCTTGAGCACAGTGGTGAGGGATTTCCACCCCAGTGGCTGATGGGGACCCCCAAGGAGAGAGGGGGTGGTGGGATGCTCAGTGATATGCCATGAAGAGGGTCACCGAATCTGGCTGAAACAGTCAGGCGGGGCCTGTCCACGCAGGAGCCACCAAGGCCTTGAGCAAGGGACTGGCTTTGGGGCAGAAAAGGAGGAAAGAGGTGACACAAACCACGGAGAAGGCTTGCACTGGAGGCTGGGTGCAGGTCAGACTGGAGGCAAACGCCAGGATGCCGTGCAGAGAGGCGAACACAGGCCAGGCCGCCCGGGGCACCAGCTCGGACGCCAAGGGGCCCTCTGGGCCCTCCAGGACCTCTGCCTGCAGGTGGCCTTGTTGACTGGTCTTCTGCAATTGGGACTTGTGTCCTCCCAGGGTGGAATTTCACGGAGCAACTCAGTGTTGTCCCAACAGGATGACCCAGCTCGGCCAATCTTGCTGCTGGGCACCTGGCAACTGAGGTCAGACAGGCAGCAGGACCAACAATCTCAGGGGTGTGGCTCGTACCAGCTCTCGTCACTCTCCCCACTCCCCAGGGACTCTCCAGTGGCGCTCAGCCTCTGGTCTCCTGGGAAAGCCCTGCCCCTTCTACTACTCAGCCCAGTGCAGTCTGCGTAAAGAGGGCCCGTATCATCTGTAAAGGCCATTAGGAAACCGCACGTCATTGGCGTTTGTTTCACTTACCAATCCTGCATTAAATCTACGGGAAAGTCCAGGAACGCTTCAGCCCAAGCCTGGGAGGCCACCTGCTGGGGCTGAGAGCAGAATGGGGGCGGCGTGTCCCCCACCCCGTGTCGCGCAGACAGAACAATGCTGTCCTGACTGCTTATTTTACACAAGTAAAGAATTGCTCTGAATCACTTGAGAACTTGAAAAAATAATAGAGAGAGAGAGAGAAAGAAAAATCCAAACCCTAATTCAGATATGGGCCACCTATTTCCAGAGTCCTCAGAAACACTACACACTGACACACAGGGCAGCCTTGTCCACTGTAAGTATTGGGGGAGATAAAACGAACCCCACATCCAGAAACCTGATCTGCTCTATTGTGCTTAGCAGCCCGACAGGGAAGCAGTGCCGGACCCAGAGATTCCCACGGCACAAAGGCTGCCGTCTGGGTTGATGGGTGTAACCAGAGCCCTAATTCCCACCCAGCTTAGTATCAGGATGAGGTAGTGGGAGGTCAGCCAGCCCAGGACAGCCACTCACCTCCGGCTACACACAACAGGGTCCCCAGGAGAACAGGACGCAATCTTAGACAAAATTAAGGGAAGACCCGAGAAAGATTTCTGTTACAATAAGAGAACTGGAAGATGCTAGCCACCTGGCTGGCAGGGCCCTCACCATGCGGTCCCCATGCGGCCCCCTGCACCTTTATCCGTCCCTTGACCTAGAGCGGTCCGAGGCCACCTGAGGTGGTCTCAGCCCCTCCACCTTTAAATGCTTGGAACAAAAAAAAAAGGGGGTCAGCTTCCAAACCTACTTGGGGCTCAGCAAAATTTTCACTACAAAAATATGTAATTCTCTCATCACTTGAAGAACCAAGCAACGTTTGTTTTTTTCCAATTCTAAGCTAGTAGATTCTTATGTAACCAAAGTATCAAAGATTCCCTGCAGAAAACCATTAAGGATTCAAAATCAGAGGACTCCCCCTTTTTTCCTTTCTTTCTTTTTTTCTGCTTGCTTGCTTTTACTTTAATAAGACATACGTGTCCCAGAGCTACAATTTCCTGGACTTTAAAAACACTTGACATGACACACAAATGTCCACCTACACACATGCAATTCGATTGCAAGCCCTTCTAATAATGTTTTTGCTCCTGAGTAAAACCAAGCTCCTTGGTTGCCTGTACGAAAAGTACAAATACTTTCTAGCCCCCAATTCCATTCGTGTTCTGCAAAATCACTGAGGACCATCTCAAGTCCTGAGTCACTCTTGGGGCTCACAGAATGACTCTCTTTCAGTCTCAGGTTTGAGTGACCAACTTCCCTTGTGTCTCCTGGAAAACGGGAGCCTCTCTGCCTGGAGTGATCACACAAAAAGCCACTGTTCCTGATTAAGTAGGTTTTTTTGTTTGGGTTTTTGTGTTTTTTTTCCATCCAGAAAGCCTA